CTATTTTAATCACCACAATATTTCATCCCTACACAACTATTGTCTCCATGTTTACTGAGGGTAATAGTATATGTTCAGTACTTATTAATATTTATAAACAGCCCCACATTTTTTATTTAAAACTCTTTGATTTACTATGTTCATATTCATTTTACCAGCTGATGTTTAATTATTAATTTATACTGTTTATTTCTGAGTGTTAAACAAATGTTTCTTTCTCAAAATACAGTTCAACTATTTTTCAATCTATTATTTATTTTATTCTCATCTAAAATACAGTCCACTTATTAATTATCACACAGTATATTTCGTACCTAGGGCCGAAAATGAGGTTTTGCCGGCTCGAGATAGTTTTTAAGTTCGAGCCGAAGTGGAGAGCTTAAAAAGATCGACAGCTGCAAAACCATTTCGGTCCGTACGAACGATATTTTTCACCACACTATACCCTATTACACTATTCACCACAATAATATTGTGCACTAACAGTCAACACAACTTTAAGGTAATGTGAAGAAATAATTTGAGGAATCAGCAAAAATAATAATAAAAATAGTTGCTACGCAGTGGTGACAATAAACAATTCTATTGCAATGCTATGGATACTGATTGTGTATTTAATATTTTTTTACAATTATTTATTTAAAATCTATTCTATAATAGAACGATAAGTGAATTTAACGTGTATTTAATATGCATTCATAATTTAAGAAAGTAGGCGGGCAGCAGATTTTGCGGCGCTTATAATGTAAAAACCTACTCGGTACCCAAATGACGATGACAGCTGGCATGGCCAGCAAAACGTAACTTTCAGCCACCAATTAACGTATGTATATAGCTAAATACATCATAGTTTGGTGAAAGGACAATAATGAAACTTGATGATGAGGTTCAATGACATACCCTCGGGTCGTTAGTGCCATCTCCAAATCATCATATATTAAGAATATTCGTTGTAAAATATAGTTTGCATCATAACAGAGCCTTGCATACACGAACCACAAACCACGAATAGCTGTGTTGTTTGTCGGCTTGTAGTGAAGTGAAGGCGTTTATATAAGATCTCTGTAAACTTTCATCTCAATTTAGTACATTTCCATGACAACCGTTATTTAGGCCCTAGTTTTTTTTACTACAACCGTTATTTTTTCCCCTATCGATAATGCCATTATTATTATTTTAACATCTACCTCTAAATGAATACTATTGTAAAATGTGACGCTTTTTGGAACTATGTTTCATGTATGGGTTACGATTGAGTGCCCTGATGTTGTAAATATTCTTATTTTATCTTTATATAGCTTTCACTTCAAATTTACTTTATTACATTTAGATAAATGTAGTGTTTGCATTTTGCTACACCACTGATTTAATTGAACCAAGAAAATGTCATAAAACTGAATTGTACGATTTATTAGTCAAAGGTTGTACTCAGTGATTTATTGTATAATATAAAATATTGTTAAAACTGTGAAAAAACATTTGAAGTGAAGGGCACGCACCTGGTTTAATAGTTACTAAGTATTACTGGTCCGCTGTTTTCAGCAAATTTAAAATTTTGTTATTTTTTACATATAAGCTCTTATATCTTTTTAACTATTAAAGCTATATGAATGACAGTTTTGCCACAAATTGTGTTTACCATAAAGCAGCTTTTTTGCTTGGATATTGTAATGGGTTACATAAAAGTTACTTAAAAGTAATTAATTAGGAATTTAAATAAACGGTATCAGCATTCTGACACATACTTTCTCCCATAAGTTTGTCAACAACCGCATATCCGGAAATGGGATTTGTACAATTTTGTTCAGAATTTAAGGACTATAACATACTACATTTTTATCAAAATTGTTCCATGCCATTTTTGGGAAAATTCTATTTTCCGGTTTTTTATGGGGTTTTTATGGGGAAAATAACATAATTTACAATAACTTTCGAACCATAATTTTTACAGGAATGGGATTTGTGCCGTTTTGTTCAGAATATAAAGGACTATAACATACTACATTTTTATCAAAGTCGTTCGGGCCATTTTTGGGAAAATCCCAATTTTCCGTTATTGTATGGGGTTTTATAGGAAAATCCCCATTAAAAATAAAAATTTCTAAAAAATGAAAAAAATCTCAAAATTGTAAGGACCATAACATACCATGTTAAATCAAAACCGGATTTTTTTCTAAAATCCTATTTTTCGTTATTTTATAGGTTTTTATGGGAAAATAACATAATTTACCATAACTTTTGAACCGTAATTTTTACAGAATTAAGACTTGTACCATTTTGTTTAGAATTTAAAGGGCTACAACATACTAAATTTTTATAAAAATCGTTGGGTTCATTTTTGAGAAAATTCTATTTTTCCGGTTTTTTATGGGGAAATCCCCATTAAAAATCAAAATTTCACAAAAATTAAAGAATTTCTGGAGATACCATGGATTAGAACCGACATACCAAATTTCATCGAAATCGGACCACAGGTGTAGTCTCTAGCTCTGTACACATTAAGACACACAGACACACAAACACAGACATAACTTCGAAAACCACTTTTTTGGGTCCAGGGGGACCCAAAACGAATATATCCACTCAAAACTCAAACTCGAAAATTTTGACGAAAACAATACTTTCTCCATATACTACGGTATAGGGGGAGAAAGTAAAAAAGCTATTAATGAGGCCATTACTCATAAAATAACTGAGAAAAAATATGAGTATGCACAGAAAGTTATAAATTTTCTTGCTCTTTAAATTGAGATATGAAGCAATAAAATTGGTTCATTAGTTAAAAAGTTATAGGAGATTTTAAAAACCCCATACTAAAAAAACTCAAAAAATGTTAAAAACTATTTTTTTACTTTAACAGCGGTAAACCTCTTACGAGGCTTAACAACCTAAAAAAGTATATATGACCATTTTTAAAAGTATTTTAAAAAACCCCTAGTTTCAGTAACAACTCCACTTAAGTAAAATAAATTAAGTCATTAAAAAATATGTATGAATTGTTATGGTTACTTTTAAATTGAGTTCATTGATACTTTAACACGTTGACGAGAATTTATCATGATCCACAAGATACATTAGTGAGAGGGTAACTTTTTCCGTCGTTAGCTTTCATAATAAATCAGTCGCCTTCAATCAAGCCCTTCTATTATGGATTGTTCAGTAATTTTTTGTATTTATTATTGTTTGCTATGATACTTCAACTCAATCTTTGTTAATGATGATCACGTAATGGATCGGTCGTGTGAAATCTAGTTATGCATTGATTAAGGATCGCGAGATTATAATGGGTGTAACGGAATGACAGTTTTTGCTAGCATACCGCATATCAATTAATTGATTGTTTTCTTAAGCACGCATTAATAGTTTTTAACTATTGATTATTCTAAGCTTGACAAGTTTTATTTAATTACGATCGACTCCACTGTCATGTGCGAAATCTCATGGCATTGAATTAAGCATACATTTCTTTACGATGTGCACCTTCAAAAACGTCGTTTTTATAAAAGGAGCTCACCTAAACTAAAAGGAGCACCATGTTACTACAGTAGCTGAAAAATAAAAAGTGCTAAAATCTTCTAAGTTTGGTCTCCTTGCAGTGTGTTCTACAGGTAATGTAAATAGCATTCCTTCATAAGCACATATACATACAATTTTGAAACTAGATTGATAAGTAAATGTTGATGATAGGTTCTTGTGAGTCGGTAAAATAAGGTTCGGGTTTGTGAGTTAACTTTTTGTAGTTACAAGGTTGAGTTGCGCTGTTGGCTTAAGAGTTAGAGCGCAGTGTACCTATTACTGCCTGATGCCCAGGTCCAAATTCTACAAGACAATTCCGACTCTTAGCTATATAAATATTCCAATAGCTTTATCCTATAAAAGTATATAAATTTTAATTTATTTCCAAAATTGACATCTTACTACACATTTTATTCTGCTGTAGATCAAAGAATAATATGACATAAAAATGTTACATGTTTGTTCAAACCTTACTATGATTATTATTATAAAGGTGGTTTCTTATCACGATAATATACGATTTTATTGCTGTCAAAGATATTAAATATAGCACTTGATTTTACAAATGGAATTTCCTCCAAAATTGCTGGACTTGTTTAGGAATTGATCCTCTTGAACCAATAAGTAATCAGTAAATTTCAAATGTTGATACTTTATATTAGGGGATAGTGCTAAACAACTTATCACACATATTCATTAAGAGGAACCACCCCATTCCCTTTACATGGAAGTTTACACAAATTGTGATACCCTAAGTCTCATTAGATTTCACTCAGTATCTTGGATTTTGTTTGGATAAATTCGACAATAATTTCTTCAGGCAATCCTAACTTCTTTATCAAATTGTCGAATTGAGTAAATAGGGGTTTCCCGTTTGTTTTCGCACACGATGTTTATATATTGGATTGATAATTCCCACACTGATTTACATAACCCCTTTGATATTGGTATTTGTATAAAACATACAATGATTTTTGCAGTTTTAAAATAAAAACTATATTTTGCTAAGTTAGTACTGTAAGTATGTAATTGATAAATATATTGATTAGGTTTATTTGACATGCAGATCAAACTAATTATGTAGCACATATACTAAAAGAAGTGCAATTCAATAATGTTTGTTAAAGAGTTTAGCTTTAGGTACGCTAAGACAAGTTAACATATAGTTGTAGTTTGATAACTATATTACCTTATTGAGCATCCCCTCCACTAAAGCCTACATTAAATAGATTAAATGTGGAAAGAGAGACAATATCAAATAGTCAAAAACTGTGTCGGCACTAATGTAACTCCTACCATGTACCCATTAACGATATAACTGCAAACCAAACATCGAAATTGCTTTAGAAACTAAAACTGTATGTACTACGCTCTTTCCCAAGTAGGTTATATCATGACTAAAAAAACATATTTAATCATGACTTTATAAACCCATTTTTAACTGTCCATTAAAGTGATGAAGGTATATTTAACAAATAACTTAATAAGCATGTATAAATAAATAGTTTTAATAAATAGAGTTGGTATACACAATAGTTTTTTGTTGAAGTTTTATTGCAATTGGACCCAATTTATTAGGCCATAGTTCAGTCTTGAGTGTTCTTTGGTTGTAGACGTGTAAAAATCATAAATATAGAGAAAATATAGCTTCAAAGGATATTGAAACATTTTTAGATGAATTATTGAAAAGACTTGTTTTCGTTGAAAGGGTGTCAAAACAGAGTTGTTTGAGCAAGAGAAGAAACTGCAACACGGTAGTAGAGCTCATCCATTTTATTCTGAAACAGAAAGACATATGTATCACAAACAAGACTTTGTTTCTTGCTTGTCTTATAAACTATGGCAACTGAAAAAAATCAATACCATATAGCATTAAATGCATTGTTTACCTAACTCTTAAGTTATAAGTGGACACTAAACATGATTCTGTAAAACCACAAAAACTGAATTCGTGCTTTTGAATATCTATCTCCATAATGTGCAGGGAACATAGACGTTCGGGGGTCTTCTCTAACCTCAACATACTTTAAAAGAAACCTACAACAAAAATTGCTTATGCTGATGTATTATGTTAAAAGATCTGAAAGATAAAATATATCTTGAGAGCCTTGTGTCCATATTTCTTTCTCTAGATGGAAAACAATGAAACGCATTATCTTAGGGTCCCAGGGTGTATTCATAGATTTTTACTAAACCCAATTTATAATCTTTTAACCGTCATCTTACGAGTTCAAAATTCGTGTAAAACCGGCTTTAGTTTGGAACGACGTATAGAATAAGTGAGAGTTGGCAAGACATTTGCTTAGAGTAGCAAATTACAACACTGCCTCCCATCCCGTAAATTTCAGCCTGACCAGAATGAACATCTTTGGTCATAAAGTAATTAAGGTAAGGATTCGATCATGATCTTACTGTTCCATCCTAGGTGTTTACATTTGCTACACAAAACATGATACAGATCGTTGAATTGAGTATAAAAAGAACTATCTTCGTTGTTCAGTTACTTTACAAACCCCCAGTAGGTACTGTATGTCTGTCATCCTCTTCATCAAAGTCACCTACCGACTAGACAGGGGCGGCGGAGTTCTGTGTGGACGGTTGGTAGGCGTTGTACACCACCTGCTGGGGCTCCCAGGTACGCTTGTAAGGTCCACCAGGACTAGGCTCCCAGCTGGGCTCATAGGAGGACATGGTGACAGGTGGCGCCGGAGCCGCTGGGGCACCGTACCCCGTCATGGGGGGCGCTGGTGGCGCTGGTGGCCCGTATGGCGTCGGCTCCATCATCATGGACGGCATCATGTCCTTCATGCCGGCCTTCTTCAGCAGCTGAGACGCCAGAAACCCAATGACCAGCAGAATGCTGATCTTGCTGAGTATGAGAGCCTTCAGTGCCTTCATACCAACGATGGCCACCAGTAGGGGCGTCAGCGCCTTGAGCTTCAACTTCAACAGCAGCAGCAGCGGCAGCAACATCTTCTGCTTCATCATGTCTCGAGCTGAAAGCAGTTTGGTATCTCTACTTTGTGCATTTTTAAGTTTGAAATAAAACCTACATTTTGCTAAGTTAACACTGTAAGCATATAATTGATAAATGTAAAGATTATGTTTATTTGACATGCAGATCCAATTTCTCATGTAGCACATAGACAAAGAAGTGCAATTCAATAATGTTTGTTAAAGAGTTTTAAAATCTTATGAATGGGACCTAAAGGTTTAAGTTTCAATATATAAGCATAATTATTAATACTGCAATGTGCTCGGCTATCTGAAGTGAAATAACATTTTGAGCTTTCAGTGGATTTATGAACAACATCCAACATTCTCAGGATGTTTTGCTTTAAACGTAAAGCATTGTCAAATTGCACTAGTGATTATAAACAAATGTTTTACTACTACTTAAATTTTCTAACGTTGTAATTTTCTATGAATTTACTTTAAAAAGCTGTAGTTGTCAATGTGAATCTTAGTTTTTGATCAAGCGTTATTTTTTAATTGAACGCATCAGTTAAATAGAGTATAAATTTTCTGATTTAATACTTTTGTTTACATTTTAAATTCCATCATATCTTTATTTATTTTGTTGTTGTGAGTATGCATACTGGATATAATCATAAATTCGTCTATTGAAATGCCCGTAAATATTTTGTTTACCTTAATTATAAACATATAATTCATATTCAGTATGATTTCTATAGTTAAATAGTTCTAACAAGTTTTTCACAATTCCATCACGCATATGATATTATAATATCGCTGCAGGGTAGCCTGGGTGTTTAATTAAAACGTTTAATATCTGAAACCTTCAAGGGCACCAGTGCTACCCCTAAAATATTATTCCTCATAATAGTTTTAAAATGTGTTTTATTTATATTATAATGTATGAATGTTCCATAAATTGCTGTATAAAGGTTTTACATTAATCAACACTGGTATAAAGATTGATTATTATCAATCCTTACACCAGCGTGGATTAGTAATAAAGTATTATTATATTTTATATTTAATCTGTTTCACACACATGATCGGACTAAAATTAACAACATCGAATTGATACGCGAATTGAAGGATTTAAATACGCGAATGTACTGTGATAGCTTTTAAGACCAAAAAATGTGGTCACTATTGTATGATAAATTGTATAAACATTTTCGCTTCCTATAAGTATTGTTTTGATATGTAGAAAGTTTCATCACCAAACACTTATCACTATAGACAAATTACTAAGCAGGTGATAGCCTTTAAGACTAAGAAATGTGGTCACTATTGTATGATAAATTGTATAAACATTTTCGCTTCCTATAAGTATTGTTTTGATATGTAGAAAGTTTCATCACCAAACACTTATCACTATAGACAAATTACTAAGCAGGTGATAGCCTTTAAGACTAAGAAATGTGGTCACTATTGTATGATAAATTGTATAAACATTTTCGCTTCCTATAAGTATTGTTTTGATATGTAGAAAGTTTCATCACCAAACACTTATCACTATAGACAAATCACTAAGCAGGTCATACAGTTTACTTTGTATACAAGGTTGACAATGAAAACACGTTAAACACCCGTTTATCCATCATCGTATGAATGACACTAATTCATTTAAATAAACAATAATCTTTTCATCACACTGTCCGAAAAGCGGACGTTTTTATTTCTCTAAATCGTCCACAAATTCACCGTTTTCTCGTAAATTTAAAAAGGGAACAAAAACATAAACAATTTGTGGTTCTCTAACCTCAAAGTTTTATCGGTGAATTATGAAAACACTGCTTATCACGCGATATTTAAGCTAAGTTTGTAAGCATTGATGACGACTTTGAATAAGATCAAATTATGCAATCTAATTTTGTAACGATTATAAGGTTATTTCCATAGTATGTTAAAAATAGTTGTTTATCAAACGGAGCGAAAGTGTCATTTACTTGTATTTCAAAGCCCGGCTTCGCGTACCGAAAAGAGCCCCTTTCGCTCCTAGTGATGTAAACTATAATTAAACCTAAAGTATAATCAACTTGTAAGTAAGTATACCAGAAATTACGAAACTCCATTATTTAAGTCAAATATTTACTGCAGCCAACACCACATGCTTGACTGAGGTTTTAGAACTTTGTGCTATATATTCTTTGTTTTTTTGCAAAGACCAACTTACGCACTTTACACTGTATGAAGGGCAATAAAAATAGCTAAGTATTAAATTTGATCTTATGGTATTAGTAAAATGTAAATAGATGAAACGAATATCATGAATCGTGTGAAGCTTTGCTTTATGGTTCTTAAATGTAACATATAAAATGTAAATGAAAATTGAAATTCTACATACTAGAGTTACCTTCCGAGTAGGCTCTTCCCTCGCCATCAACGGTGGGTGGGAAGCTCACATCAAAGTCCAGACCCTTGGACGGCTGGAAGGTGAGGACTGCCTCTTGGAACAGGAACTCTGGGAGTTGGACCTTGAACTGATGCGTGTTCAAGAACCTCCTTGTCCTGTCAAGAATCAAGTCGTCCAAGCCCTCCTCGGACTCCAAGTGCTTCTCCTCATCAAAGGTTCTGGAGTCTCTCGTTGGTCCTGTCAGGTGATCTAGATAGCTGAGGGCGTTCTTCTTTATGCATGTTGTGACAGAGTCGTCGCCGTCGAAGCAGGAGTCGATGACGGTTGCTACCAGTTCGTCTCCTGAGGAGATGCTTCTGGAACTGCCGGGGATGTGGTTACTCTCCCCCATGACTCCCAGCACTAGGACCATGGACGTCCACACTAGGCCTGCTCGCGGCATGGTGACAATGACAATGAATGGCCTCGATGACTGACCCCCGCGTTTTATATGTACTGATAACGGGCTACTTGGCATGCTGCCGACATGCGTGCGCTGCTCTGTCTTACTTTCCGTTTAACTTTCTTTATCGTCCGCCCTTTTTCATAGTTTTCAGTATCATTTTTTTTACTTTAACTGGAGTTTTCGTGTAATATGCCGTAGGTCTATCTTGCTTTAATAGTTTATGGTTTTCGGAACTTTCGGTGGTATTTTAAAATGTCAGGGCGTCACAACCAATATCAGAGCATAAGGTTTTTTTTTTAACTAGACTGAATTATTTAAAAACATCTACAGACCTTTATGTACAAATTGTAGTGTTACAGGGTTTTTTTTCGTGGTGTAAAACACGAAATCATCTTTGCTTGAGTGACACTACATTAAAATTGGCTAGACTATGTTTTGAGGAGAATTATTTTTTAAACGAATAAATGAATTTATTTCCATTGAGAACAAACTTATTACATGCATTTGCAGTATTTGGAAATTGACTGGCCGCTTTTCAATAAGTGCGGTCAGTTAGAACAAATAAATACAATAAATTATAACATATTTTGAGTTTAGTATCATGCATTAAAATATTCTCATGCCGCCATTTGGGTATCTGCTAAATACATATATTAAAATATAAATATTAATTATTAGTTCAATACATTATTATTAGTATTGAGCTTTGAGCATGCATGGTTTTAAGACCCATTATTAATTATTTTTTCAATTATTTTAACATTGTTGAAGCAGTTAAAATATACCATTGATTTCTTAATTATTTTTTATGTTGATGTTCAATACATTTCACTCGTAGTTTCCATAACAAATCAAATGCCTTAGCTCTCTTTTAGTAGCCTATATAAATATTGTAAGATAATCAATAATATCGGCTAAAGTGAGAAATATATACTGGCGTCTAGTGAGTTTGTGTAGTTATCAATTATTGTTATGTTAATGTATAGTATACCATTTATTTTAAACGAAATGGATATTGGTTAACTTTTAACTTAGCTATACCTGGTTGCATTTGCAGTTAATAAATAGCAAATTAGGCTACCCTGTTAGCCATACATAACTAAATTATCTATGTGAGCATGAACTTACTTAATCGTAATTTTATAGAATAATTTTAAAATGTTTTTAATTACTATTTTATAAATATGCCTAGTGTTTTCTGTGTATAAATTGTATCTAGATAGTTACCTTAATGTTTTTTATCAATTGTTTTTTTTCAGCAATTTGTATTTTATCACTATTACCATAATCACCCACATTTTAAGGAAGTCAATTTCCCACGCCTAGTTGGAAACAAACGTGTTGTTGCCGGAATCCTTGCATGAATGATCAATTTAAAATGTATATTCCATCGATAAATAAACCCGTTAATGTTGTAAGTATAATTATTATGTCTACGCATTCTTTGTATAAAACGAACAACTTTAAATCCACAGAAAAAATAATATTTTTTTTATACTTTAAAAAGTTATAAGTTACTAAAAACAGTAATTTATGTATTTAACTGGACGCCCTGGTAGTGTTTTTATCTTTTGAAAATCAATGCGTAATCAAGTGGTTTGAGAATCGCAAGCTAGGCATCTACAAATTTAAAAGTTATATTTCTTGTTGATCAAAATTAATATGTTATGGCCCTTATAATACTAAAAAAAATTGTACAACACCCTATTGCTGTAACAATTATGGTTCAACAATAATTGCAATTTTTGTGATTTTTAACTATAAAATATCATATTTACTCTCACCGCTTTACCGCATGATAAAGATTGTTGACAAGTTTGTGGGAGAAAGTATGTGTCAGAATGTTGATACCGTTTATTATTAAAATATACTAACAAACTGTATTTTAAAAACTAATAGCTTCGGTAATCAAGCAGTTTGAGTGAATTTCCTTTGGAGAAGAAGCTATCAATGTTGGTGACATTGTATGATCTAGGACCTATTTGCTTTTTTTAATATTGATGTCCCAGAGGCCTAAAACTATATTCATAAAATTAGAATACATATGAGTGTGTTTGTGTGTGTGTGTGCGTGGGGGGGGGGGTATGTGAGAGCGTACAAAACACATGTAATTTGGCTTAAATTTTGATTAAACTTGTTATGGACGTGTAGGGATGGATAACGCTTTAATGTGTTCGAAAACCACCAAGATCGGATCATAGAGAAAAATGTAATGGATTATTAAACAGTTCCTTAAAACTGTAGGCCTACAATTAAAATCCCCATGTTATACTTTTTTTTGGGTAAAAGTCAACTGTTGTAGTTTGCTTGTTTACGGATATATTTTGATCAAATTCAGTAAATTCATGCTATTTTATTAACATGAAAACCACTCGTGTTTCTCCCATGTAATAATGAACCTAAGTACTCGATAAATCTAGTGTTATTCAAATAGAGAAAATATCAATAGATTAAGGAAATATTTTGTTAAACATCCAAGCAGACTAATGATTTTTTTAAGCTTACAAGTTTGCTGTGGTGGGGGTGTTTTTATTTACAAAAACAATATTAAAACTAAAAAAAAGTATTGAAAGACACCTATATTTACCTGCAAACCATATTTTGTGGGAAATTGCCAGCTTGTAAAGAAATACATTTCTGTTCGAATAGTCTATATGAAAGCTAAAATAAAAGACATCATTTCATAGCCCAAGCGACATATTGTTGAAATCAGATTGCTTGCTCTAATATTAGCTTTTCAGCCAACACACACACACAAACACAGTATCAGCCAATATCCAGTGTAATGCATGACGTCTCTCATAACTTCTCACTCATTGGTCACACTGATATTAGATTGTATACTAAAGCAATATATTATATTCTATAACGCAGGTACAATATACTGTAAAGAAAAAGTACAAAAATATCAGCGTTATCAATATTTATGACAACGATCTGAAATTCATTAAAGATATTAAAATATTACATATTGTTAGCAAAGGTACGCCATCAGTGGGGAATTATCTCTCGTCCAATCCATGGCAAAAGGTTGTTGTGACAAAGTGAATACGCTTGTGAATAAACATGCAAAATTCAAATGCAACAGAAATGAATATGGAGTTCAATTTGTACGTGGTAATATTAAATGTTCACTTTTCCAAATGTTTCCATCAAACAATGATCTTGCAACAGTTGTCAGGTTAACTTTTCTTTAGTACTTTTAAAATTAAGGTTTATTAATTCCCATCATTTTGTTTGGATTTTAATATGATAATTTGTATTAGATGGTTACGTTATATCGTCTGTTTTGAGGTTAAAAATAATTGTCTCCTGCTATAGGATTAAATTAATTAGGTTAATTAGGTTGTTGATCAGCAACAGAGGGCTGTAGCTCGTTAACCTAGCCTCTAATCGGGTTGAATTGCATTCAGACAAGTTCATGCTGATGATCAGAAGAAATAACCGTCAAAGCTTAAATGTAGAGTTTTAAATACCCAAATAAAATGTATCTCTCCACTAAGTATCACCCTGTAGTTTATACTATCATAGGATTTGCCATGGTATTTAACCACATAGAATCCCTACAAATTTATGTTTCATGATTAAAGAAAATTCCCGGAAATTTTAATTGTAAATAAAAATGTACTCAATGCGTTTCATTGAATTGAAAAATAAATAACAGCAATTAAATTATACAGCTGATCAAAATGTAAACAATTATGATCTTCATAAGGATAACATGGGAAATTTCAAAGCCCAAAGGCAGAGCCCAAGGGACGTTTTCAAAAATATAAGGCCAGTTTGCAAATCTACGCGACACGATCTTTCCAATGAGACGTCAATGGATAAAATCGGTTAAGAAATGGCGGAGGAGTTCAACCGACAAAGTTTCGTGTAGCGTATTAATTATATAGTTTTGAGTTTGTGTAATCATAACCCCCAAGACGGATCATGTTAGTATTGTTGTATCTGAAATTTGTGTATTTATCGTTGTTTTGTGTCGCTATGACGGATCGTGTTAGCATGATTGTAACTTAAATTTGTGCATTTATCGTTGTTTTGTGTAGCTATAATTTGTTTATTTGTCGTTTTTTTCTTTTAAATGCTTCCGACGTGACGACAAAGAAACATAGACAGGAGGCGTAATCGTGATAACGACGGCAGCTACAGAATAGTGGCGCGTAATAGACTTAACTCATCACAGTCAGCATCTGACCCTGGACAATCTCAACTATTAGGCTTTAAATGCGCCCTAACATACCAAAAAATGGCTTTTCGTTCTCAATTGGCCCTCGATCAATGACCTGTGCATGTAAAGTGAGGTATTTTGAGAAGGAGAAAACCGGCCGGAATGCTTTAGGTTTATCAATAACGAAGATAAACATGGTCTGAGTTACACACCGGTAATCTTTGAGTTGACTCTTTTAAACTCATTGTAAATATGACTGTTATTCGTTCTAAAATAACTCCTGTAATACTTTGCAGTTGCTCGAATTCGAGCAACATGTACACTAGTATTAATTAAACAGTCTCCGCGAGGAACTTGCAGCATCAGTCAACACTATCGTTAAATGAACCTTGCTCCTTGAGGATACACAGATTTCATGTTTTTTACAGCTATTTATTGTGCAATATATTATGCAATTAGTCATTTTGCGAAATATTAGGACATTTGCCAAAAATTACCAAAGTTGAGTTAAATCTCATAAAAAATAAAGTAATGACGGTTTTATTTTTATTTTTATGATGTTACCTTAATATTCAGCATTAAATATTATTATTTATTATTATTATTAAATATTACCATTTGGTAACAAATTATAAGAAGTAATAAGTCTTATTTTAGGTTGTAAACTACGAAATCATGTTATATTCATAACATGATTTAACAACTACTATTCAGTAGTTGTTAATAGCCAAAAGGTAAATTAAGGATAGTTTTTATTCCTTTATTCCATTTTAGTTTGTATTTTGTCAATTCCTACAGAACTATAAAAATAACTATATTAGTGAAAATATGT